GTTGTTTTCATTCTTTCTAAATTTTTGTGTTTTCGCCAGCGTAAAAAATAGTATACAGGGTGTAAATTTGAAAACTTTTAATGCGAATATCTCGCGAAATAAAAAAGTTAGAAAAATGCCGCTTGGCAAAAATGCTAAAGAGTTAAGGGGAACTAGAACCACCATATTCCAGTGAAGGGATGAGTCACCCTGTCAGCGCAACACACCCCAACTTTGAAATGTCAAATGGCACTACCTCTTTTGTGATACCTCAAATGAACGGTCTAAGTCAGTAGTATTCACCTGTACAAGACTTCTTTTCCACCCACTACAGGGTGTACGAAAAACATTAATTCGAGGGTCTAAATTTGAAAACTTTCAATGCGAATATCCCGCTAAATAAAACAGTTAGGAAAACGCCGTTTGGCACAAATGCTACAGAGTTAGGGGGAACTAGAACCACCATACTTCAGTAAATGGATGAGTCACCCCGTCGGCGCGACACACTCCATCTTTGAAATGTCAAATGGCACTACCTCTTTTGTGATACCTCAAATGAACGGTCTCAGTCAGTAGTATTCACCTGTACAAGACTTATTTTGCACCCACTACAGGGTGAACGGAAAACATAAAGTCGAATAAAATAAAATGCAGAATGCCGATATATTCCAAGAGATGTGTTCCAAAATGTTTGAATGGCATTTGAACATCGATTATACTATTGCTCACAACAGAATGGAATGCATTTTGAACATCTGATCGAATAAAATTTCCTTTTAACACAATTCATTTTATTTTATTCGACTTTATATTTTTCGTACACCCTGTAGTGGGTGGAAAAAAAGTCTTGTACAGGTGAATACTACTGACTGAGACTGTTCATTTGAGGCATCACAAAAAAGGTAGTGCCATTTGACATTTCAAAGTTGGGGTGTGTCGCGCCGACGGGGTGACTCATTCCTTGACCGAAATATGGTGGTTCTAGTTCCTCTTAACTCTTTAGCATTTTTGCCAAACGGCGTTTTTCTAACTTTTTTCTTTCGCGAGATATTCGCATTGGAAGTTTTCAAATTTACACCCTGTATACACCTCAGGACAGAGTACTATTTTTCCCTCGGTGCTTTGTATCCCTCGAGCTACAAATCGCACTTTGGGAAAAATCTTGCATTTCTGTCCCTTGATGTATAATGTACTATTTTAATACACTTCTATTTATTCATTTTCAACCCTTTTTTAGTTTTGCTATCTATGAAAGTATTAAATTATTGCCTATAGGGTAATAATAGTACTGGCACAAACAATAAGTCCAAGAAAAATTTGAAAACTCCGAAGAGTTAGGACGATGAACGACGGAAGATCTCTGACACAGGCACCATTTTCTCACGTTTCTTCAATGTCATTATTTAGATACTGTTGAACAAACGGTGAGTCGTGTCATGAAGCTACAAAAGATCAAAAATGTGCAGACGTGACGAACGTATCACGTGCCAGAATCCTTTCAGGTTCAACGTGGGTTCAACGTCCACAGGGACATAACATCAGAGAAAGATACATTTTATTTTGCTCATCACATTCTCAGGACCTATATGTTGAATCACGGACAAAATGACAAACGGCGAGTGGACAATTTTTTTAAATGCTAAATAGAATCATTACTGAAATACCTCTCAAGTTCATATTTTTCATGAATTTTTTGGTCGATTTTTTGGTGCTAAAATCATCAATAATCCCACGGTAATTTTCAAACGGCTAGAAATTTACCGCCATGATTTCGTAAGTATAGGTAAGTATAGGGGCAGACAGTACACCTATACAGGGTGCCCGTTTTTCGAGTTCCCCCATGAGGGTCTCAGTTATTATAAGAGATACGAGGTCGGTCATTTTCAGTTTCGGAATTATTTGAAGGAAACGAAAATTTGTAATTTCAAGTTCTGTTGAATCGATATCCGAGGTAAATAACCCTATAATACCTGTAATACTGTAAACTCAAAAACTGATATATATCTCAGAAACGAAACATAAAGAATTGAAAAACTTTTTGCATATTCAAAATAGTGTGAGTAAAATGAGATCCAAATTAACGGAACTGTTTTCGAGATATTCAGTTGAAACATGTTAAATAATCTTCGACAAAATCTAACACATCCTGTATCTAAATGAAAGGCAATATTGAACAACTGAATTCGCTAGTGAGTTACCTCAGCCTGCCTCAGCTTTCATTCAATCAACAGTATCAATCAATCCCTTTCTTTGTGATACAAAACAAGCTGTCAATTGTTTTCAAAAATAGTTATAACACAAAATTCTAAAAATTCATATTTCGAACAGAGATAGTTATAAAGAATCAAAATACGTTTTTGAAGCCTATATAATAGACTAAAACTATAATGTCCCATCAAAATATAGCTTGTTGGTTTTGGAATAGTGCTCGTTTTTTTTTTTCAGAAAAATGTATATTTTGACCGTGTCTCGTATACACCCTGATTACTATAATTCATGTGATTATAACTAGACGTGTTCATGAGTTCCGATCAATACATTTTCTAGCTTATTTTGTCTTATTCATACTAAAAAAACAGTTTTTTTCTTTGTCAATCCTACCTCGATACGACGTTTTTACGAACTTTGTCGGCTTATATCTCAGAAACTAAACATATAAAACTGTTCAAACTTACATGTTTTTCTAATGAGCCATCCCACAACAACATAGTAAAATTTCAAGCCAATTTCCATTGTTTTCGTGCGGGGTCCTTTCCCTTTCAGGTTCATCATAGTAACATTTCAGGCGCGGTAGTGATATTTTGGTGAAATGATACTAATATTTTTATTTATAAAAAGAAGAGGATACAAATTCCCAAATAATTTGAGAACGAGGAAATGAATGATTTTCAACATCATTAAAAGTAGTGTCCATCTGCAGACTGGAACATAACAATATCGTTAGACCCGTATAATTGCTGATGACATTTTCAATTGAATTCATTATATGAGAATTGAATAACATGTTTCAATGATGTTAGTATGTTGAATGTTGTAAGTGCACCTACGGTCGGTTCTCCAATATGCCTTCAATTTGCTATTAAAGATATAATTGAAGTGCCGCCTTGAAAGAGGGCGTGAAATCTGACTCGTCGCTTAAATTGATTGCTTTTATTGGCGACTATACTTTCACATCACATGACCAAGTGGATGTCCTCAAAATAGTCGAAGTTACGAGACATGATCAAATAATACGGGGAATAGATAAGTTGATGAGAATACACATTTGAAATAAAACATTGATTCCATCATTTTGATGATTCATACTAAAAAATAAAAACAGTTTATGATTAAGAAATTTCATCGTGTAATTCGTGTAGACACCTCGTCTAAACACTTCAAGGCTATCACGACACTTCATGCACGCGAATCATTGCTTTTCCAGTAGAAAATGACACGCTGAATCGAATGAGACCATAATCAGCTCCATAGGTCTGATAGTTTTCGAGATATCGGCGCTCAAAGTCAGCGTTTTGCTTTTATTGCCAAAAGGAGCAATCCGGTAGGCTACTACGTCTCCATTTTTCAAAATTTCCCGATTTCCACCACAGAATCGTTCATTTCGACATCGAATTAGTCTATATGAATTTTTTCAGATTTTTAATAGACCAAATAAAAATTTTCATTTTCCCACCTAAGACTTCCATACGATATAGTCACCGAGCCATCTTTGGACGGCCGAAAGTGCCAGAAAACGGCAGAAATTCACGCGAATTATCGCTTTTCCAGTAGAAAATGATACGCTGAATCAAATGAGACCATAATCAACCCCATAGGATAGATAGTTTTTGAGATATCGGCGCTAAAAGCCAGCTTTTCACTTTTTTTGCCAATAGGAGCATTCCGTTAGACTACTTCGTCTCCAATTTCTAAAATTCCTCAATTTCCACCACAGATTCGTTGATTTCGATATTGAATTAGTCTATGTGAATTTTTTCAGATTTTTAATAGGCCAAATAAAAATTTTCATTTTCCCACCTAAGACTTCCATACGATATAGTCACCGAGCCATCTTCGGACGGCCGAAAGTGCCATAAAACGGCAACAATCCTATCGAATTATCGCTTTTCCAGTAGAACATGACATGCTGAATCGAATGAGATCATAATCAGCCCCATAGGACCGATAGTTTTTGAGATATCTGTGTTCAAAGTCAGCTTTTCGCTTTTATTGCCGATAGGAACATTCCGGTAGGCTACTACGTCTCCATTTTCTAAAATTCCTCGATTTCCACCACAGATTCGTTGATTTCGATATTGAATTAGTCTATGTGAATTTTCTCAGATTTTTAATAGGCGAAATGAAAATTTTCATTTTCCTACTTAAGACTTCCATACGATATAGTCACCGAGCCATCTTCGGACGGCCGAAAGTGCCAGAAAACGGCAGCAATCCTTTCGAATTATCGCTTTTCCAGTAGAACATGACACGCTGAATCGAATGAGATCATAATCAGCCCCATAGGACCGATAGTTTGTGAGATATCTGTGCTCAAAGTCAGCTTTTCGCTTTTATTGCCGATAGGAACATTCCGGTAGGCTACTACGTCTCCATTTTCCGAAATTTCCCGATTTCCACCACAGATTCGTCCATTTCGACATCGAATCAGTCTATGTGATTTTTTTCAGATTTTCAATAGGCCGAATAAAAATTTTCATTTCCCCATCTAAGACTTCGGTACGATATAGTCACCGAGCCATTTTCGGACGGCCGAAAGTGCCAGAAAACGGTGGAAATTCGCGAGAATCATTGCTTTCCCAATAGAAAATGACACGCTGAATCGAATGAGACCATAATCAGCCCCGTAGGACAGATAGTTTTTGAGATATCAGCGCTCAAAGTCAGCTTTTCGCAATAATCCGATCTGAGTATTGCCGAAATCGGGATGAACAAATCAATTAATCATTTCGCTTGGAAGCTAACGGCATTAACTGGAACTTTACTATTCCACCTGACAACACCTAGTGTAGTATCAACAAGTAAAAACGTCAATATTGTCATTATCGATCACATTGATTGTCATCTGGCTCCGAAAGAACGAGTAGATTCGTAACGAACATGGAGGAGCAGTTGAGTGAAGACGAACTCATCGGCGAAGATGTCATCTTACCTAGCCCAACGACCCCGGATTCCCTAGCAGCACAGGAACCCATCAAAGAAAAGCGATTGACCTTCGAAGAGGCTTCCAAGAGCCTCAGCACCTTAGGCAAGGACGAAAGCGGCGTGAGATACGCCTTCCTGATGATGTCCCCTACCCAAAAGAAACTAACAGACATAACGATAGTGGTTAACTTCAAACACCTGTTGTTTCTAGATCTAAGCGACAATTACCTGAATCTGGAAGCCCTGCAAGTAGTCTCGAAGTTACCATATTTGATATTCCTCAGAGCTGAAAGGAACAGAGTAGAATCAGTGGGGTTAGAGCGTATGAGCTACCTTCAAGTGTTGATTTTGACGAGGAATCAAGTCCAGGAGACAGGAGATTTAGACCAACCGATGCTAGAAACACTTGAGCTGGCCCATAACTCCATATACACCCCCCAGTTCGTTCCTGAACGCTTGGTTAACTTAAAGGAACTCGGCTTGAGGGGCAATCATCTCCTAGACACTTCTGGCACATTCCCCAGTTCTCTGGAAAAATTGTTTCTTTGTAACAACGGCATAAGGAAAATAAACACGGACTTCTCTAAGCTGCCCAATCTCAAACAGCTGCATCTGCGGGACAATAAAATAAGGAAGCTGTCAGGAATAACAGAAGACCTAGCGAACCTGAGCTACCTCAACCTACGAGGCAACAGAATCACCAAAGTAAGGCAATTCAGACACTTGGACTGTCTCCCGAAACTGGAAACGCTCATCATCACCGATAACCCGGTGTACAGCGAAAAGCAAGAAGAAGACTTGGAAGACGAGGAAGAACGAGAAGAAGAAGTCTACGGCGAAGACGGAGCACAGGCAGTGGACAAAGTCAGAGTGCCCCTACTGGTTCTTCTACCCAGCTTGAAGAGAATCAACAAGGACCTGGTGACTCTAGACGAAAGAGAAGCTGCTGCGGCCGAGAAGAAGAGTATCCTTAAAAGGATATTCGATGAGGATAGCAGCGATGACGAAACGGAAGTACCGACTACGACGGATTTCACCACTGATTATACGGCCGGAACGGAGGTTGACCTTGAGTATGTGGAAAATGGTGGCAGCGAAGAAAAAAGCGATGAGGAGGAAGATCAACAGGTGAAGAATGAAGGTGGAGATGAAAATGAAACTATTGTTGGAGATAAGGAAAACCAATGAAGAACATAGAATAGTGTGTGCATGAGATTAAGCTGTGAGACAACGATCTAACAATATACAAGGTGTAACATAAGAATGTTAAAATAATCGAATGACGTATTCCTGAGGAAATTTAGAGAAAAAAGTCCATATATAAACTTGTCTCCAGAAATGCTTCGTTGAGGGTGCTGAAATTGACGTTTTTTTTGGCAACTATTCGCAAAAATAATAATGAAAATAATCTTTAGCACGAAATTTGGTACCCGTGTTTTTTTCTTGAGGTGTGAACTTATAATTTCGTATTATTTTCTATATATGTGGAAAATGGTGGCAGCGAAGAAAACAGCGATGAGGAGGAAGATCAACAGGTGAAGAATGAAGGTGGAGATGAAAATGAAACTATTGTTTGAGATAAGGAGAACCAATGAAGAACATAGAATAGTGTGTGCATGTGTGCTGTGAGACAACGATCTAACAATATACAGGGTGAAACATAAGTATGTCAAAATAGTCAAATGACGTAATCCTGAGAAATTTTAGAGAAAAAAGTCCATATATAAACTTGTCCTCAGAAATGCTTCGTTGAGGGTGTTTTGTTTTTGTCCACTATTCGCAAAAATAATAACGAAAATATTCTTTAGCACGAAATTTGGTACCCGTGATTTTTTTTGAGGTGTGAAATTATAATTTCGTATTAATTTCTACGTAGATATGTGGAAAATGGTGGCAGCGAAGAAAAATGCGATGAGGAGGAAGATCGACAAGTGAAGAATGAAGGTGGAGACGAAAATGAAACTATTGTTGGAGATAAGAAAAACCAATGAAGAACATAGAATAGTGTGAAAACGATGTATTTCCTATCGAAATGAGATGGAAGTATATTTTTCATTCCTTTTTCGTGCGTGAATTACTCTACATTTATCGACCTATAATTTTGTGACGCCCTGTGTAATATCTGGAAATATCTGGAAGGTATGGAATAGGTGTAAGTACTATATTATTCAAGAATTTGTTTTGGCATTTGCATTTTCTGACTGTACCTATTTTAATAATGAATTCCATCCATATCTCTATATGTTATACAGGGTGAGTCAGTTTTCTGTGGAAAGACTTTTACAGCTGAGAGAAGACATTTTTTTAAGATGAAAATGATATGAAAACATGTATTAGAGTGAGTAAGAAATTACCAAACGCCCGACGGACTGTGATCTCGCGCTAATTCACTATGTCAGAAATCATGTATCATTCATCTTTGTCTGGAATAGTCTTGTTTCAGTATTAGGGTTCTGACGTCACATCATCGCCTCGTTTTCAGAGGTTCGAAAAATCGGGGATTTCAATAAATTTTTATAAAACGTAGGGAGCTCACAGCAAGAAACGGTTTGCGGTGGTGAGCTAGTTTGGGTGAGCTCTATCGAATTATGAAATAAAAATGTTTTCTACTCACATAACTAATATGGCATTTAGCGTACGAATATGTACCACGCTAAATGATCAATTAATCACGGAATGACGATCTGTGATTTATTCAAAATATTAAACACGTTACCATGGCAACACGATTTCTTGAACACATTACCATGGCAACACAGTTCATTAAACACAGCTTCAGTAATTCAAGACATGTCTGGTCTGTCAATTGTATTAATTGTCAACTGCTATTTTCAAATTTTCAAACAATATTCGTTTGTATCAGAATTCTTCATTAAGAATATATGCGGAACGTAGACGAGAGTGAAATCGAAGAGAATGTTCTGGTACTTGCATATCTCCAAGAAGTGTAAAAATGAAGCATCCATCTTTGAGAACAATTTATTCATTCTGTACTAAGCATGACAATTAACGTGAAACAAAGGTTAGTAAGCAATGGACTGGACACATCTACAACCAATATCACTTATACGTGTCTCGCTGGTTGCATGCAGTTAATGTAATTTTCGGAGTTCGTAGAAAAAACATAGTATGTAACGCGTTCATAAACTCTTCTAGACACTCGTTTATTAAACACTCGCTCCGCTCTGCTCCGCTCGTGCTTAAAATACTCGTTACTAAAAGGACGTTTATAACACTTGTTACATAATATACTATTATATGTGATATAAGCCCATTGTATGGGATTTGGTAATGTCCATTACAGGCATTACCGGACTATACCCTCATATTTTTTTGTTACCCATATCCATGCGTTTTCATTAAATTTCTACAACAATTATATCAATAAATGTAGTATACTTACTTCATGAGCCTGCACAATAATGATTGTTATAACCGATTTTGTATTCAATACTAGCAAATGCATGTTGCAATCAGAGTTTCTAATAAATCTGGTTGAGTAAAACTGATTCTAATAATTTTCCACGCTTCATGAACATTCCTAATTGTCTATTTTCTCTTCGTACAAAAATGGGCATTTCATCACACTCGATCGGCTTCATATAAGATTAATAACATCAAGAGAATTTTAATTATTGTTCAATACAAGTTCAATAGTTTACGCTTTAAGTAATTTTGCCTGGTTTTGCTTTATTACTTTAAAATATGATGCCTACCCAGCCTACCTTCTATATTTAGCCTAAAATACGTGCATGTTTCAAGGTATCATTTCAGAATACCAACTTTTACCATGATATTGTGAAAAAATATATCGCTCTGACGCACTTCCGTGTGTTCGATTTTTTAACCAGGTGAATGGATCGTTTCTCAATGGAATCTAAGAACATGTTTGGGTGCTGAACCCCATAGGTGAGAGCAGTATTCTGAAACAGTTCGGACATGTACTGTGTATACAGTGTGTCCCACTTACCATGCTCACCATGGGTATCTTTTTAACGGTGAGAGATACGAGGTCGGTTAAATGACACCAAATGTGGATGTTGTCAAGGCCAACTATAAGGTGAAAAAATATTTTGATAAAATCTGTTCGTTTTTGTTTTATACACAAAAAACAAATTTTGATCATTTTCATGTCTCCTCCGTAACTTCTTTATTTATGAAAATATTCAAATAGGAATTTCACATTTTAATGGCAGTTTTTCAAAGTGAATTCGAAAAAAATATGAAATTCATACCAACTCTTCTAGAATTTGAGATATCAGCACCAACTTTAGTTTTTCAAATGTAGGTCATAGCTCACTATGACATAGTTACAAATAACTTTTTTTTCTCTCACAGATGATATGTCGCAGTGATAGTTTTGTGTTGATATGTTGATAACAACGGAGTTATCGTCATTTAGACAAAATAAAAGATTATTTGGGAGCCACCATCTTGAATTTATAAATTTTAACAAAAAAATCATGATCTGCGACCTCAAGAACCCTCAATCACCAATTTTGAACGGAATCGGACCAAATCTTGTCCGCCATCTTGTAGCAGCCATTTTTTTAAATTGATGGCGGACAAGATTTGGTCCGATTCCATTCAAAATTGGTAAGTGGGGGTTTTTGAGGTCGGAGATCATGATTTTCTTGTTAAAATTTATAAATTCAAGATGGCGGCTTCCGAATAATTTTTTGTTTTTGTACAAATGACGATAACTCCGTTGTTATCAACACAAAACTATTACTGCAACATATCATCTGTAAGAGAAAAAAAAGTTATTTGTAACTAAGTCATAGTGAGCTATGACCTACATTTGAAAAACTAAAGTTGGTGCTGATATCTCAAATTCTGGAAAAGTTGGTATAAATTTAAAATTTTTTTCGAAATCACTTTGAAAAACTGCCATGAGAATGTGAAATTCCCATTTGAATATTTTCATAAATAAAGAAGTTACGGAGGAGACATGAAAATGATCAAAATCTGTTTTTTGCGTATAAAACAAAAATGAATAGATTTTATCAAAATATTTTTTCACATTATAGTTGGCCTTAACAAACTCCACATTTGGTGTCATTTAACCGACCTCGTATCTCTCACCGTTAAAAAGATACCCATGGTGAGCATGGTAAGTGGGACACACTGTATAGATCATAAGAAACTGTTGAGGTGCGTGGTAGTGTTGCTTTTTGAATTTAAATAAAAGTTTTGGTGAACCATATATCTGTGATGTAATTCAATATCTCTCGAATATTCATTCATTCACATCTTTGTTCCGAAAAAACAAGGGAAAAATCACTAAGTGATCAAAAAATGAGAACCAGTTTCAATTAACATTTTTTCACTATCAAGTAACAAGTAACAAATTAATAAACTGAATCGGTTTCTACCTAGTATTGATAATCTGATAATGCCATGCCATTGTACTTACATATTTTTCCAGATTTCCCAAAAAGTCAATACAGTAGATATTATCTGAAACAATAAAATAACATTTATTTTTTCATCTATGACTGTGGGAAGGCAAAAAGATTAATTTTATCTGATGTAGTGAACCAAGGAAAATTGGAAGATAAGTGGAAGTGATGATTTGTGAAAAAAATGAGAGTATAATCACTTATTGAATACTTATATACTTGTCTTGTAAGATGCTTTATTGATACCAAGATTTTATTCAAACCCAAATTATTTTGGCGCACTGGCAACAGCGTAATGCCTAGAGTTCCCAGGATACAAGAAGAGAAGAAGAAGACAAACTTCATTGTCTCCATTACTTCCTAAGTCTCCTTTTCCTTTGTTTCACCTAGTCAAGATGTGAATATTCAACGATATTCCTCTTATTATCTGATTCTTCAGTTGTGTGTTGGGTTCTCTTTCATCTGCAGTTCAGAAAATTCCGGGACGAGCACCTTGAGAGAAGGCGAACTGTTTTCATATTATGGTTGACATGACAATCAGAATTATTCTTGCACTTGTCTTACAGACAAGGGGAAAAGATACGTATGTTGAATTTTTTTGGATGATTTTTTGGACGTCACGCGTATTCCCGTGTTTTTCATGTAACGAAATATCGTGAATTTCAATAATTATTTGAGAAATGTAGGGTTAGTACTTCGAAGTAATGAAATACAATTGTTCACTGAAACAGGCTTAATCGTTTATCAAAAGCAACATAGGAAAAGACTGTGTTTTATGTTTTATGTTTCATTAGGAAAATTGTATATACTATCTTTGGAATTCGACAGTATTTTGATTAATTTTCAGAAGATCGAAACAATGTACAATGCTTCTCTGCTAAAATATATTCACATAATCAGACTATAGCGAATCATGAGTGATGATGCTCGATGATATTCAAATTGGAAAGTTAATGACCTTTGATTACTGACAAACAAGCGAGTATTGTGTTCCATAATGAGAATTGCAAACTTTATTTTCTCCTATTGTCATATTTTCGTCGAGTTCATGATTAATAACGTAATAATTATATCAACCCATTTTTTCACCACATTTAAATTCATTCAGTTTCACAGTGAAATAGATGGAATCAAAACCATGAATAATTCTTATAAATGAAGAATACAAGGTGATTCAGTGGAAAGTATAGTCATTCCAAAGTCAATTGATGCGCCAACAGCATCAAAAGGAAAGTCAGTCACGCGCAGTCGGTCCCTTTGAACTTCAAAAAGACCGGCAGCGTGCGGTGTATATTTTTTAGCAATTGTCTTAGAGAAAACTTCACCAGCTTGTAGACGAATCTAAATTACGAAGAAATTCCGGAAAAATTGCGTAATTAGGGGGGGGGTCCATGGGGTCTGGACCCCCCCTCCTAGAGCTGTCTGAAATACCAAAACAATAGGGAATATCACGAGAATTTCGTTTGTAATTTGTTATACAGGGTGTCTGTAAAAGGTCTTTACAAAAACATACCGCATATTCCTTAGACCGAAATAAGTCGATTTAAGTAAAATTACCTCAGTACAAAGTTGCATTGTTTGGGCTCCAGAGGGCCTTGAAGTTACAATTTTCAAATCGTTCTTCCCATATAAATTCAAAACGGCATATGCGATTTTGCTGAAATTTGGTATATTAATAAAAAATTCTACGCCAATGGAAGAAAAGGAGTTTGAGTATGAAATTCAGATTGCGCAACTCATTTACTTTGAAAAAGGTACTCGTGATAAGACTCGATTGCTCTCATGGTTTTGACGAAATTTGCATTTTAGTAATTTTAGAACATAAACAATAATTATTAAAATACAAACTTTGTCAGAACCATGAGAGTAAATCGAGTGTTATCAAGGGTACTAACTGAGTACCCAATCCAAAATTCATACTCAAACCCCTTTTCAGCCATTGGCGTGGAATTTTTGAAGGTGTAATTATTTAAAAAATCAAGTTCTACGCCAATGGCAGAAAAGGGGTTTGAACATGAAATTTGGATTGGGTACTCATTTACTACAGAAAAGTACCCTTGATAACAATCGATTCACTCTCATGGTTTTGACAAAGTTTGTTTTTTAATAATTATTTTTTATGTTCTAAAATTACTAAAATGCAAATTTCGTCAAAACCATGAGAGCAATCGAGTCTTATCAGGAGTACCTTTTTTAAAGTAAATGAGTTGCGCAATCTAAATGTTACACTCAAACTCCTTTTCTCCCATTGGCGTAAAATTTTTGAAGGTGCAATCGTTTAAATAATCAAGTTCTACGCCTATGTATTATTATCGGATAAAATTTCAACACAATTTTTTTCGCCACCTAAAATTCTATCAATATACCAAATTTCAGCAAATTCGCATATGTTGTTTTGAATTTATTTGGGAAAAACGATTTAAAAGTTGTAACTTCAAGGCCCTCTGGAGCCCAAACGATGCAACTTTGTACTAAGGTAATTTTACTAAAATCGACTTATTTTGGTCTAAGGAATATGCGGTATGTCTCTGTAAAGAACTTTTACAGACACCCTGTAGAACCTTCCGAACGAAAATCGGAGGTTAGTTAGGTAATGTCATTTGAAAACGTCCGATTCGAGTTTCAGAGCGATGGAGAAAATGAGACAAAAACCATCAATTTTTTGTGGTCATTCCTCATCCATACAAAGGACAATCCAAATGCTGAAAATTGACATTCTCTCGTCTTTTTAGACACTCATCTATTTTTTTCTTGCTTTAAAAATAATGTTAACCCAGTTTTGAGGGGTGGAGGGGAGTGCACCCTTTCAATGGCCTAAATTTTATGTTACAAAAGAGAAACTTTCTGACTGTGAATTCCAAGATCTTGTGGGCCATGAAAAAAATTAAGAATCCGGTAGGTATCTTGCAATTTTTCATACAACTAACCATTTTCCAGAAAATCGTAATCAAAGAAAGGGGTCACGGCATCGGTTTCGAACGGAATGGGTTGAACGCTTAAATACGGAGGTGATCGCATGTCGGAACGCATTTGAGACTGCAATTTCAGATAATCTTATGTTTTTTTTACCCATCTTACAGTGATTGTAGGTCGAAGGAGGTGCATTTTGGGCCAAATCATTATATGAGGAAAAAGTATTGCTTGATCCCAACAATATGTATATAAAATATTTACATCGAATTTTGAATCACCTTGTATATTGCATAGGTAGTTTTTTCTCATTTTCTACATATCTCTAAAAGTAGTCGCTTGATTCCAACGAACAAATGCAACAGTTTGAATCTTTCTATTCTTCCTATTCTTCAACAACTTAATTCAATGTTCGACGTGGCAAATAGCCAGGATAGTAGTTGTTTCCTGTTGAATAAACCGAGAAAGAATTGATATTTTCATCAAATAGAGAATGCGAATTCTCAATGTATTTATTTATACAAGGTGTTTTTGAAATAAGTGCACATATTCAGCACATTGGATATGATACAGTCTAAGGAATATTTCCATGATATCAGATTTTTTTCAATTCTTCTAATTAACGAGATATTTCATCCCAAAAATTGAACGAAATACGAAAAAAAATCAAGTATGCCACTTTAATTTAAATAATTGAACTCCTCGTGATTGTGCCTATACCGCATGGAAATTTGAACACAGGTGACGTCAGATTTGCTACAGTGTAGAACTTTGGATGGAAAAAGGAGTCTATCCTCGAATTTTATTTTGATCCCTAAATTTTTTTTATTAGTGCCATTCGATAGTACATGTCGAGCTTTCTCAGTGTTTGATATATTTGCACTTATTTCAATGCCACCCTGTATACAGTGTGTCCCACTTACCATGCTCCCCATGGGTATCTTTTTAACGGTGAGAGATACGAGGTCAAAAACCCCCACTTACCAATTTTGAATGGAATCGGACCAAATCTTGTCCGTCATCTTGGAGCAGCCATTTTTTTTCAATTTCAATTAAAATTCCATAATGTATTGTCACCGAAATTGATAAGTGGGGTTTTTTGAGGTCGGAGATCATGATTTTTTTGATAAAATTTATAAATTCAAGATGGCGGCTTCCAAATAATTTTTTGTTTTTGTATAAATGACGATAACTCCGTTGTTATCAACACAAAACTATTACTGCGACATATCATCTGTAAAAGAAAAAAAAATTATTTGTAACTAAGTCATAGTGAGCTATGACATACATTTGAAAAACTAAAGTTGATATCTCAAATTCTAGAAGAGTTGGTATAAATTTCATATTTTTTTCGAAATCACTTTGAAACACTGCCATGAGAATAGGAAAATACTATTTGAATATTTTCATAAATAAAGAAGTTACGGAGGAGACAAGAAAATGATCAAAATCTGTTTTTTGCGTATAAAACAAAAAAGAATAGATTTTATCAAAATAATTTTTCACATTATAGTTGGCCTTGACAAACTCCACATTTGGTGTCATTTAACCGAGCATTTAACCGACCTCGTATCTCTCACCGTTAAAAAGATACCCATGGTGAGCATGGTAAGTGGGACACACTGTATATACCCATTTCGTATGTTCATAATTATATCTGAGAATATTCAATACAGTTCAATATGAATTATGAATCACTTCTTGTTTGTTACCTTCTTTTATTTTAAAGTTCACCGGGGTGATTTTCGCCCTGTATATCCGATAATCATTTGATTCATTGAGGCAGTATATGATGCAACTGCCTGCCACAAATAGAGGAAACAGTTGTGCTGATTTTCAATATGTTTTTGTTCAATTGCCGGAAATGATGTGTACCATACTATTCATAAAAAAGGAAGAGATGCTTCAAAAGATACGGAATTTATAAACCGAGACGAATATCGGAGTGAAAGCGGTTTTGTGATGAAAATTATTGTAAATATATGGAATCCCGATGCAACATATGGTATTGGAAATCGCTATAAAAAGTAAAAGTGTCATGAATACAAATATAATCATTATGAAGGCTTTCACCCTAAATACATGTGCTGACCATCATTTATATCTATTGGATTTTTAAACTTTACATTCTACAGGTATATTTCTCAG